ATCGTCTTCTTCTGTCAAGTTGTATCTCCTTGTCGCAGCCACGGCAACGGACGTTGGTCGGGTGAACCCCGGTGATCCATGAATCTGCTTTAAGAAGTTGTATTATTTTGTTCTCTCTGGCGATTCCCGACTTGGACGTTGGTGCAGGTCGGATTGGTACTGGTACGCCGTCTGCGTACTGGGGTAGCTGTCGTTTTTTCCTCGTTGGTTTTGGTTTTGTGATGTTTCTAATGATATTCACTCGCTTTCCTGATGAAGTGCAAAGCATACATCTTACGCGATCTCATGGCTTTCTCCTGAAGTTTGGGGGGGTTATTGGGAAGTATTTGAAGGTTGTTGAAGCTGTTAAAAACTCGTGGTTTCCGGTTACTTCCCCTTATCTGACTCTAACAAGGATCGCTCGCGTGATTTATAGAATTGCTGTTGTAAGTAATGTACGTGCGCAGCCACGACTCGATTTGATTTAGAATGCTGGGCTGGATACAGCCTTTTTTTTGCCAAATTTAGTCTTACGGAGTGATGCGGAATAATACATCGTAATCCTGTACTCGCCCTTTCACATGTTGGGAATAACAACCGATTATAATAAAGTCAGCTCTCAGCTGAATGAGAAACAACAGTCGTGACAGTAGTATTGTACTTGTTCCCAGACAACAACGCGCACTCAATGCGACTGTTACTGTAAGCAGCCTTTGTTTTATGTTTTTTTTCCCCCATAACATTCAAAAGAACGGTTAACTAGGGTGATATATTGGGCTTCACTTGTGACTCAACGTCTGTACTTTTTACGTTGTAAGTTGTTTGTGAACGCGTTGTAAATGTAAACGCGTGACACGAAACACGTGAAGGTGACTACGTAGTACCTATCTTTTTTTCCCTTCAAACGCACAGCAGTACAACAAGAGCCCAGAACGGTATGCTCGTAATGTGTCTATCGCTTCTATCGCTTATAAACTGATTCCAAATTTAGCTTCAACATACCAACTTTTGCATATCATCCTTGATGTTCGTCACAGGTTCGATATTACGCAAATCCGTCTCTTTGCCATCTGAAATGGAATCTAGAAACTGTAGCATGAGCTCATCTTCACCTGAGAGGTCCGACTGGCAACCAGAGCGTAAAATTCTCGCAAAGTCTCCAGTATCGCGGCCGCAATCACAACCTTTCCCAACACTTTCTCCTACAATGACCCCTGACATCGCTCAGGCAGCGGATGTAGCCGACATTCCTCTGTTGGACGAAACGGACGACGAGGAGCTGATTCCTACCATTCAGCAGCTTCTCGGCGATATTCGGACGCGCTCTTCGCAGCAGCAGAGCCAGGGCAAGCGAGGAGGCGCCGTGCCGACCCCTAAACACATCGCAGAGGAAGGGAGGGGAACTGAAGTAGGGCGAGAATCGAGTTTGGAAGACCCTACGGTTGGTGGGACGGAGAATAGCGCGGACGAGCGTGATGATGAAGAGCCCGATGACGCAAAACAAGAGGTAGACCAGTTTGACAACGACGAGATACCTAAAGTCAAGGAAGAGGAGCCGCAGGAAATGGATTTCGCTTTCGCAGCATCCTCCGATTCCACATCTGTATCCGTATCCGTAAAAAGGAAACCTCGACCTCTGGTTCCGATCACCCCTCGAGCTCAAAAACCCAGGCCTGGTAGTCTCGCCGCGCCGATTGAAATACCTGCCTCACCCTCCGATACTGCCGACCCCACTGCTGTCAGTCCCTGTGGTAAACGCTCAAGTGGCTCAGATGATTTTCGTTCCGCCAAGCGTGCGCGGAAAGTCCGGCTTGTCGCCAAACACGAAACACATTGGTATCTCGATGGGAATATCATTGTGAAGATCAAGAATACCCAATTCAGGCTTCATCGAAGCCGCCTTGTCAGAATGAGTGACTGGTTTCATGCCAAGCTCGAACCTGGTTCTATGGGGCACGATACCAAGGGAATTAGCCATGTCGGAAACGATGTGGTGGTGGAGGTCAACGAAAACGATGTGGGGATCCTCAGAGTCGACCGC